AAACAAATTCAGCTCCAGCCTCGCCTGCCTGCACTCAGGCTCTCTGCGCCCTGCCCTCAGCCAGCCCCAAGACCACTTGTCCACCATCTGCTCCCTTCTCCAGCCCAAACGGCCAGTAAGGGAGAGAGGGGACAAGTCTGCAGCTCCCGGAGCTTGGTTCAGGATGGAAGCCACCTTCTGAGCCAGCTCACATTCAGGTTTCGGTTTCAAAGGCTGAAATTCACCCTTGCACACGAACCTCTGCTTTCACATGTCATGACACCCTGAACAACACACCTGCAGCAATTAGATCAGAGACGGGGGAAAAAAAAAAAAAAATCTCCTTGTTTGCTCAGCTTATTGACTTTGCAGCGCTCAGTTTTCCCAGTTGTTTGTGTGGGTCTTTCCCTTAGCAACCAAGGAGAGAAACATTTACGAGGCATGAAAAATGTGGCTGTACAGCCGTAAGAACTGGCAGGGTGCGGCTGTGGGTGCAGCTGGAAATTCCTCTTAACTGGTAGTCACAAATGACGGGACCTCGATGAACTGCACCCCTTACGCAGCAAAGCGGCTCATCCTCCTCAAGCAGGAGGTGCAGGAGGAGTCAAGACTTCCAGCCTGTGCTCTCCACCATACCACCCCCCCCCAGGATCCTAGGCTTGTGACAAATACCTCTACGTGCCTCAGTTTACCCATACATAAAATGGGAGTAAGTATAAAAAGCAACAGGAAGGCTAAAGTTGAGACCTTAATACAAAGCACTCCATAGGGATGCAACGTGCGTTCCCCAACATGGAAGGCAGCTTGAGCTCTGGACATCTTTTTCTAAACAGCTTTACACCTACAATTTTCTGGATATCCCAGCAAGATTATTCTCCTCAGTTCACAGCCATGGTGAGAGAGTCCTCTTGTTCTTGACCCTTGGCAGGGTCAGGATCCAAACCCTGGGATTTTGGTTGCCAATCCCCTCTTCCAAAGAGATGTGCCACAATCCAGCACCCACGCGCGCTGGCGCTAGCTCCTGCCTCACACACTTACCCCCAACGGAGCTAACTGAGCTTTTGTTCATAGGGCTGGATCAAGGCAAATGAGGCCCAGACCAAACGGACCCACTGGGTGCAGGAGGCGGCTCTGCTACGCACATTTTCCAGCGCAAAAATGGATCCCAGCCCGCTTTTCCATCACAGCATCAGCCTTTCCCTTTATTCATTCTTGGGCTCCCAGGAGTCATCGCTGCCCACTTCCCCTTCTGATGAGACCCCCAAATTTCATGCCTTTACTTCATCCTCCCCTACCCCAAAAGCACCAGCAGGTTTGTGAGCGCAAAGCTTTTGCCCACCTCAGCTCGATTTAGCTTCATTTAGCCTCAAAACCACCCCAGGCAGAGACAAGGGACCTCCTGGTGCCACTTGGCCTAAGCGCTGCCTGGAGAGCTGCGGCCCTGGCTGGCTGGCACGGCTCGCAGCCGCTTCGCAGCCTG